CCATTTTTTTAACTACACTTTTTGACTTTTTTTATTAGATTTTGTAGCAGTTTTGGCTATCAGAGCAGTGTAAATTATTGATGTTCCTTCCTCCAGGTTTAAAACCATATCAATCTTTACACAATTTATTATTTTTTATTTATTTATATTCCAGTTTTACTATTTTTATACATTGTATAACTAAGGGAATGAACATATCTCTTCCGCCTCCCATTTTTCCCACAAGAACACTCATGGGAGGTGAGCTGTGCTGAGAGAGAATGACACCCAAAGCCACCCAGCCATTTTTCATATCTATGGTGGGACTAGAACTCTCACTCTCCTGGTTTTTTGCATGATGTCTAGTTAACCAAGTGCTTAACTAGATCAAACTGGCTCTCCCCCATCCAGCTTCCCCCAAACATACAGCATGTTGGTTGAATAAGTAAGGGGAGAGTATATGTCTTTGCCTCACTCCTTTCCCAACCTAGATCCAGTCTGATTCTTCAAGTTCTGTTCGGACTGTATATAGTTTTCCCATGAGGACAATGAGATATTCCAGAATTCCCATTTTTTTTCTAAGCACATTCCACAGCTTGATGTGACTGACACAATCAAAAGCCTTTCTATAATCACTGAATGACACTGTGACTTATTTTTGCATTCTTTGGCTTTCTCAATTATCCAGTGGGCATTATAAATATTGTCTCATGTTCCCTGTTCTTCTCTAAAACCAGATTGAACATCTGGCATCTCCATTTCTATGTAGGTCTCTAATCTAATATTATTATTTGTATTATTTGCCAGCATATGAAATTAAGGATATTGTGCAATAGTTTGAACAATCTCTCTCTCTCTCTCTCTCTCTCTCTCTCTCTCTCTCTCTCTCTCAATTGGAATGTAGACTTACCTCCTCCAATCGGTTGGCCACTGTGTCATTCTTCAGATTTGGTTGTGAGAACCTTAACTGGTTATTCTTCTTTTTGCTTGCCATATTTCAGTAGGTGTTCCATCCATTCCTATAGCCTTCCAACTTGATAATGTCTAGAGTGCTGATATAGCTTCATCTTCTAATATTAGAGGTCCTTATATGTAGGGAGTATCTTTTAAGGTATCTTGGATATTGAAGTTTTTACTGAACAGTATTTCAGTACATATTTCTTCCATCTTTCTTTGATCTCCTTTCGATCAATTATTCTCAGGCTATTGGCATCCTTTGACATACCACTTAAGATTGAAACCTCCTTCAGAGGTTTGTCAGCTATTAGCTTTTGAATTAGCTTTGTTTTAAAAGAAAGGCAAGACCAGACAATATGATTCCTTACAGCCTAGATTTAATTTAACATAATTATTTTAATGTTTAAAAGCAAAAACGTAAGATAACATTACTTAAATAGGCTGACATTTTTCTTTTAATTTTTTAATCCTCTGTGTGTCTCTTTGTGTCTCTGTGTGTGTGGTATGTGTGTGTGTGTAAAAAAAGTTTCTTTTTTAGTTTTTTGGTTAAATTGTTTGAGCTGTTGTTTTTATTTTAAATTTTTAATCTGTTATGGTTTTATGTTTTTTATTGTTTAATAAAAATGTCTTTATTTACACAAAGAATTATTATATAGCAAACTAGGAGTTTTTCTTCTAAAGTTTATAGTGTTTTTATATTAGATCCCACACATTAGATACTATTATATGATTCCTTCTAAGAAATATCAACTATAACATTTGTAGAATGTAATAAAATTGTTTAGAAAGAGGAAAAAAGATCAAGACTGAAAATCTGCAACTATTAACTCCCTTAATATCAATGTCTCCTTCCTGAAATGTACAGTGGGGGGGGGAGTGTATTTGGTGCTCTCTGAGCTTGCTTATTTTCTTGCAGTTATTTCATTACTCAAACTAGTCACTGAGCTACAAATATTCTTCTTTCTTGTTATGTGCAGTATGCATTTACCTCCAGCTCGCTACTAACCAAGATCTGTGGCAGCCAAGTATTAAATGTCTTCATATCATCATCCAGTTATCACAGAAGCCACTTATTTTGGCAAAATGGTGCTTGGGTGAGTCTAGAAAATGCTATACAGGAAGATACCTTTGTATCTTTGAAGATGCCCTGGGGAGATGATTGAAATGACAGATCAATAGTAGCTGAGGAAAGGAGGAAGCTAAATCCCACCCACCCAGCGTAATTCTGAGCTGTAAAATCCCATCCCACCTAGCATAATTCTGAGCTGTTAATGCAGCAAAAGGAGGCATGTAGTTGCCACTGGTGAATGGAGTACATTTATGATATTGAAAGGAAGACAGGAGACAGGAATGCTGGGTTTCCATTGTTGAGAAGAATAGTACAAGCAGCTACCTAGCTTTACTGCAGTTTCAGATAAATGATCACAGAGCCAAGCAAATGCCAACTTAATTCTTAACGAGGTGAAATTGAATTATCTTACAATCTCAAACTGATCCAGCATCCTTGTGAAAGGGCCACACCGTATGTCTGTGTTCTGATGTGCACAAGACATTATTCATTCATTGGGGGTCAACTATTTGACCTAACCCATGGGTAATTAGACCTACTTCACAGCATGACATGAGATAGTTTCCTGGATACCACCCTAATTTTTAGAACAGATGCAAATAATAAGCAGGAGATAAAACAACCCAATAAAAATCATTTTGAGAAACGAGGGCTATCCCTAAAGATTCTGGGTGGCAAACTCAAAAAAAGCTGGATGCAGCATCGAACCTGAAATTAAATTTTTCATACCAGTTTTAGGTGAACAATTCTGAATACAAAGCAGTATTTTTCAAAATTAGACCTTGAGTAGGTCGTTTAAAAGCAGCAACTCAAGACCAAAATCCAACCAAAGTTAAGCACTTTTAAGTTCACTGACATGAAGCACCCATGCTTATTTATTTATTTATTTATTTATTTATTGTATTTATATCCCGCCCTTCTCCTTTCGGACTCAGGGCGGCTGACAAATGATAAAAAGCTAACATATTACACCTAGTTAAAATTTAATTAAAATGAAATATTTGAGAATGTCAAATTTAAAAGTAATTAAAACCCCTATAAAATCCCCTAGGCCAGTCCCGCTTGCTGGANCACCGCCCGCGCGGCCGCATTTTGGACCAACTGGAGCCTCCGGGTGCTCCTCAAGGGAAGCCCCATGTAGAGAGCATTGCAGTAGTCCAGGCGGGAAGTCACAAGGGCATGAGTGACCGTGCGTAGGGCGTCCCGGTCCAGAAACGGCCGCAACTGGCGAATCAGGCGAACCTGATAAAACGCTCCCCTGGTCACGGCTTAAACTACCCCCTTACATCATAATGTTTAAGTTTGGTTGTTCTTATGTTATGCTGATTTATTTTAATTGAGCTATAGCTGGCCTTAAGGCAAAAAAGAGTCATTATTAATTGGCCTGTCCAATGGAATACATCAAGGTTGTGCACAACCCTGGTTGCCATGAAAAATATTATTCTGAGCAAACATGGATACACACAGAGCATCAGTCAATCACATCTTCTCCTAGGTTTGTACATCAACCACAGAAGACTGCTCCATAGGTCTAGGAGCAGTAGCTTTGAGGTAGTTTGAGATGTTCCTGACAGATGGCACACAACATATCCATGTTTCATCCAATCATGAATGCTCTTTATTATTTATTATTTATTATTTATTAATTTGATTTATATACCGCCCTTCTCCCGAAGGACTCAGGGCGGTGCACAGCATATTAAAAACAAGTAACAATAAAATACCAAAATAAAATAAATAAATACCAAAATAAAACCCCCTCTAAAACCAAATTAAAAGCCAAATATTAGTAGCTGTGTCGTAATTAAAATTATATTAAAATCATCCCTAACTAAAATCCTCCCTAGGTCAGGCCCGCTTGCTGGAAAAGCCATGTCTTTGAACCCAGAGCTCTCCATAGCCCAAGTAAGTAGCAGTGAATAGGCCCATTAATCATTAACATTTTTGCCTGACTCCATATTGCCCAGCCTTACTATATGCTGCTTTATGGGGATCATATTTAGGGATAGATGCACATCTCTAATGTATGCTTCCTCTAAAGAAATCCAATTAATTCAGTGAAGCCTACTCTCAGATAAACAAATATAGAATTATAAATAAAGACCACATCCTCATGAAGAGTTATTTCCCAGATAATAATACAAGCCATTTCAGGAATGGTCCATTTTTTGAAGTAAAATGATATAAGTTAAAAAAACCATATTTTTTTAAAAAAATGAGACAACATCTAACTTGACTGCAGTTTATTGAAAATGATCAGCTCCTAAGAAAATGGGAAAGAAAGCCTAAGAAATGAAGATAGGTGCAATATAATCCGCAAAACTGGCCCAAGAATGAATGTTTTCACAGTACAGTCCTCAATTCCTGATTTCCTAACAATGAATTGTTGCTTGCTCAGAATTTTTCAGGACCCTGTCTTTCTGCAAACCCAACTGTTGAGTGAAAATACAGTGGTAGTTTAAGAAAATTAGCATTTAACTTAGCAGTGCAAGTTTGACATGCCTAACATTGATCTAGACATATACAATGAAAACAAATGATCTCCTCAATGAAGCAGGGAACTACAGCAGGACTGAAGAGAACCATCAGTTGGAAGAAGACTCCAGGCAGTGAGGAAAGATTTCTTTCATGCATATCACTACTTGGCAGCCACCAACTAAGCCAAATATATACAGCATACTGAAGGAAGCAGAGCCCAGATTTGTAGTTGATTCATCTCCCCCTTTCTTTCAAGCATTTCTCTCTTGGATGTCCTAAAATGGAATTTGGTTACACTTTCATGATTGGTCATCTAAGGCAACAGAAGCGAGATGCACGATGACTTCCTCAGTGGGGACTGGCTGCAGGTTTCTTCTGGGAGGGAAATAGACCAGATCTTGGGCTTTAGAAGACACAGTTTGTTCTTTTCTGGGTTGCCAGAATGGGGCTGAAAGAGTTGTGTTAACACAAGCAGCTAAAAGATGTTCCTTTCCGTTGGGGGGACCAGGAGAGATGCCTAATATCTTCCGCTTGATTTGGTGCACGAGCTGGATGTGGTGGTTCTTCGGATGATCGTGCTGGAACCACTTCCTAAGCCGTGAGAGAATCCACCTCCTCCTCCACAGACAGAGCCGCCAGCCCCTCCACCACTTATAATGCCACCACTTCCGTAGCCACAGCTGCCTCCGCCAATGCCACCAACAACACCACTTCCAATGCCGCCACAAATGCCATCTCCAACGCCACCACCGATGCCGCCACCGATGCCACCTCCAATGCCGCCACCATAGCTGCCACCCCGCACAGCTGTAAAGAAAACACAGATTTAGTACGCACATCTTCACAACTTTAAAAGCTATAATTATATTCAGGGGAAGGCATAAGTTACTTACAGACATGAACTTGGGATCCTGAGCCACAGAGCCTGTTTAAAGAGAAAAAACACACAGGTGGTTTTGAACAAAATTCTCCTTAATGAAATAGTCAATTGCCCAATAGGTTGAGTGATATTTCCACATGACAGCATAATATTAATTATTTAGGAAATTTATATTGCCACCTACTCACACATGGTGACTCAAGGAGGCTTACAGGACACAAAAACTCAATATAAAAGAAATATAATAAAATAATTGAAATAATAACCCCCCACTTCCCCACCCTGGGGAAACTCATAAGCATAAATCATCTATTCCTATTTCTTATTCACAAGGTGGATCCCTCCATTCATGAATCCCCATGTCCCACATGCAAACCAACTCACAGAGGGAACACCTTTGGAATCCAGGTAAGGTAGAGAGTAAGACCTGGAGCACCCATGTGGCATGAAGCACCAGCCAAGAAAATTCACATTTCCAAAGACAAGTCAGAATGGCAGAACTTCCAAATCAAAGCTCTTCCTTGGATTAGGGTGTTAAAATATTTACAAGACAATCTCTGGCTAGTTGGATGTTTAAAAAGACCTCATGCATAGCTATGGTTTGGTTTTAAGCCAGATATAGTTTGTGGACACCTGACCCACTTAGAACCAGTTCTCCTAAAAACCACCAGACACACCTGCTCTCTTCTCCTTCCAGAAGTTTCCTGTACATGGCAATTTCGATGTCCAGACCAAGCTTGATGTTCAGCAGTTGTTGGTACTCTTTCAAGAGGCGAGCCAGTTCTTCCTTGTCTTTCGCCAAGGCGCATTCCAAGTCATGCAGTTTTTGCTTAGCATCTCGGAGTGCCAGTTCACCACGTTCCTCGACCTCAGCAATGTCAGACTGCAATTTAGCATACTGCAAGGCAAAGGAGAAAACAAACAGCTCTAGTTGCCACCGTGATCATCTTTTTAAATCTTTATTGATGAAGTATTTATCATGCTGCGATTCTATTTTGGGGGGAAATTTTCCAGGGGCTTCGATCAATAGTTCTGAGGTTTTCTCTTTGCACTAAATAAATGCATAAATTAAAATCCATTGTAAATAATGGGATACTTCTGCACTACCACTTGCGTGGTAGCACTTGAGAGCTAGAGATGTCCAGATCAGAAAAATAATTAATCCATGTTAGTGTTCTGAGTTCATTGCTTTGTTTTATTTCACTTTTTTAAAAAAATCTATTAAAACTTACCCTTTCATTCAGCTGTCCAAATGCAAGAGTATTTTAATATAATTACCTCTAATTACATTTTAACATAAGATAATATCAATCTCTACTATTAATTTCCATGATGTCATTCTTTGTTAATTTACATTTCCTCAGTGTAGGCTTTTAAAATATAAGTTCCCCAGTGTAAACTATTTTTCTTCAGTCAGCTTATTTCAGAAACATACTTTCTATACAATATATCTTTCGCTTTTTTTTAAAGTGGACTTTGGATCTGAGAAATGCTTCTGAGAAATGGCTATATGTTAAAAGGAGTTTGTCTTGGTGACAGAATGCCAAGTATAGAAACACTGTTAGTGATCAAATCAAATGACTTCCTTGTTAATCCTAGGAATTTGATGGTTCATTGTTGATGCTCAGCAATGGTAAAGGGCCCATATTCAGACTCTGTCTGAATATTACATACTTTTTTTATTCTCTTGTTCCAGTCCTTAGCCCAGATGCTCAATCCAATTTTTAAAAATGTATCATTACTTTTTATTTATTTGAATATATAAGCTGCCAATTCTAATGGATTCCAAATTTCTGTCCAGACAAGCCCTGAAATAAATGTAAAATCCTCTGACACATTTTTTTTTTGCTATTGTTCCTTTCTGAAGCACCATCAACATATAATGGAGATAGAGAGTTAAATCATTTTACACTGCACTTTTTTAAATTACCATTTCTTTAAAACATGGAACCCTTACTATGATTCCTTCTGCTGTTCAATTTTGAGATTGTGAACTAGAATACTTTCTTTCCCTTATTTCTCCAAGTATGATGGTGATTTGCTTATACTACCTCTGAGTTGATGGGAGAGTTTTAAGACACTTCCTTATATCAAGCCAGATCAAGGCCTTTTCCAGCCATACTATGCTAGACCTGATGTAATACTTTTCTGTGAATGGGCTTTTCTCTGGGCATATCTGAAATATGAACTCTTCTTACTTTGCTTAACAATCTCCTAATGCCCTTCAGCAATCTACAAGGCGTCAGAGTGGAAAAGACATATCCTAGAAGCTATTTTGAGCCTTTTGTAGCAAGGCTTAACTTGTCCATGAAGATTCTCAGTTGTCCAGGTCATGGCTGTCCCAAAGGTGCTTTTTTTTCCAAGAGGAACCTGGACTTTCTTTGTTTTTCCTTAAAGACATTTAATTTCTCATCCAAAATAGTCTTCAAGGAAAAACAAAGAAAGTCTAGGTTCCTCTTGAAAAAAAGCACACTTGAGAAAAGGCTTGACTTATTGCTCCCTCCCCGGTCCCAAACAATGACTATGGACCTTGATTGAGGCTGGAGGACAAGCTTCATAGCCAAAGAGGATCTCTGTGAAGAAATTCTTTATCTATATGGTGCATAAATATATGTACCAAAACAGATTCTTTTCAGCTACACACATCAACACTTGAGCTTCCCACTTGCATCATGTTGTCCCCATAAACCACTGAAGAGCAGTTTAAAATTGTTAAGAGGCTAAGAACGAGGAACACAGTTGAACCATTGGCTCATCCAGTTCAGAATTGCTGACAATGACAAATAACAGATCTTTAAGATTTATAAACAGATTCTTCAGCCCTACCTGAAGATTCCTAAGACATTATTCCTGCCAAACCCGTCTTCTTCCATGAACTGCAGCCCTTTCTTGGTATACAGCCTTTTCTTTTTAACCACTGATTCAGTGCAGAAAAGATTCTATCCCCAAACCAATGTAATTCACATTGCAACACCCATTCCATTTTTCCACCCTAGCCAACAATGTCACACCTGGGCTTACATAAAGGTAATGCAATTCATCTTGTGTACAAGAGAGCTTCAGTTATGATGATGCAACAAGATATGTGGAGCTGTTGTTCAAATCTTACAATGTTGAGAGATGGGAAAAATAATTTTAAAGGAGTTTGGCAGGTTTCAGTGAATCGCGTTAAGTTACTGAGTCAGAATGTTATCTGTCTGAGAAACAGAAATGCTTCAAGATCTTAAATCAAACGATTAAAAAAACAGGCACTTAAAATAAATGATTTAAGAAATAGGCACCTCGTGTCCTAGAATAAGATTTTGCACAAGCTCTCACTAAGAGATTCTTTCCCTTTGTAGAGGTAAATTCAACACTCATAGAGTGACCTAGATTTCCCAAGGAGATAGAATTATAATCCTTCCCTCCATATTCCATACCTGCT